ATTTTTGGCCACAACTTAAGCGTGATGTGGAGAACCATGTGCGGCGGTGCTCAATCTGCCAAACTAATAAAGGCCAATATCAGAATACTGGTCTTTACACACCGCTGCCTATTCCAGATGCTCCATGGGAGGATTTATCGATGGATTTTGTTCTAGGGTTGCTGAGGACGCAGCGAGGAGCAGACTCTGTTTTCGTGGTGGTTGATCGATTCTCCAAGATGTCCAATTTTATTGCTGGCAAGAAGACGAACGATGCAGTCCAAATGGCCAATTTGTTCTTTAAGGATGTGGTTCGTTTACATGGGGTGCCACAGTCCATTACCTCAGATTGTGACACCAAGTTTTTATCTCACTTTTGCCGGACTTTATGGAAGAGATTCGATACCTCTCTTAATTTCAGTAGCACCAGTCACCCCCAGACTGATGGCCAAATAGAGGTGGTGAATAGGACCCTTGGAAATCTAATTCGCTGTATTTCAAGAGAGAAACCAAAACAGTTGGATCTTGCTCTTGCCCAGGCATAATTTGCTTACAATTGCATGGTTAACAGGTCCACTGGCAAATCCTCGTTTGTGGTTGTGTATTATTGTTCTCCAAAAGTTGCTTTGGATTTGGTATCCTTATCGAAGTTGCTAGGGAAGAGTGTTGCTACAGAGAAAATGGCTGAGCACATTAAGACCATTCAGAGGAGAGTCAAGAAATATCTAGAGGAAACTTACGTCAAATACAAGGCCGCAGCTGACAAGAGACAAAGGAAAAGAGTATTTGAAGAAGGGGACCTGGTTATGGTGTATCTAAGAAAAGAGAGGTTTCTAGTGGGAACATACAACAAGCTGCAAGCCAAGAAATATGGTCCGTACTAGATTCTAAAGAAAATCAACGACAACGCCTATGTGATTGATTTACCTACTGACATGGCCATTTCTTCTACCTTCAATGTGGCTGACATACATGAATATTATCCGCCAGATTCGGGTAACTCAGGGACGAGTTCTTTTTACGCAGGGGAGACTGATGTAGAACAGCTCGCTCACGATTATTTGAACATATAGGATCATCCCAAATCAGGGAGGCTGAAAAGGTAAGGAGAATAGAAGGAAATAAATAAATAAGGAACAGTCAAACGAATCATCGCATATCAGGGAAGCCGAAAAGGTAAGGAGAATAGAAGGAAATAAATAAATAAATTAGGAAAAGTCAAAAGGAGATTTGGTGTAGTTGCCAGCAATAGAAGATATTATTCTCCATTGCAAGATTTAAGAAAGATTCTACTCCATCAAATCTCAAATTTCCCCTTTAATATTATTTCACGCGTACTCTCTTTTTTAATTTTATTTTCGACTTGCCTATATAAAGGCAAGAGATGTAAGTCTACAGACATTATCATTATCAATATAATTTCAATTTCTCTCTTGTAAATGTGTTCTTTGTGAGTTCAAGGGTTTAACCCTGTTCTTTATCGTTTCCGCTACGTTACTATTGCTCTTAGAAAAGGAGAAAGATCTTGTACTAAATATCCACTCTCCAATTATACTTCATACAAGAATCTTAACCCTTCCTTCAAAGCATTTTCTGCTAATGTTTGTCAAGAAAAGATTCCCAAGTCCATTCAGGAAGCAATGATGGATTCAAAGTGGAGAGAAGCTGTGATAGTAGAAATGAGAGCACTCAACAAGACCAACACTCAGGAACTAGCTGATTTGCCCTATGGAAAGAAGGCTGTGGGTGTAAATGGGTGTTTACTGTCAAATTCAAGGCAGATGGCTCGGTTGATCGATACAAGGCAAGATTGGTCGCAAAAGGCTTCACACAAACCTATGGGATAGACTACAAAGAAACCTTTGCACCCGTGGCAAAGATGAATACAATTCGGGTTTTACTATCCATAGCTGCAAACCGAGATTGGCCGATGCACCAACTTGATGTAAAAAAACGCATTTCTCCCCGGAGACCTTGAGGGGAAGAAGTGTATATGGAGCTGCCATCAAGATTCAAAGGTAATTTTGGAAAAAAGAAACTATGCAGATTAAAGAAATATCTTTATGGGCTGAAGCAATCCCCATGTGCTTGGTTTGAAAAATTCACCAAGGCTGTCCGGAGTAAGGGATATATGCAAAGCCAACAAGATCACACGATGTTTTACAAACACAAAGGAGGAGGGAAGGTAACTGTACTAATTGTGTATGTTGATGACATCATTGTGACTGGTAATGATGACACTGAGGTGGATGACCTGAAGAAGTCTCTTGCAAAAGAATTTGAGACTAAGGAGTTGGGAAATCTGATGTATTTCTTGGGAATAGAAGTTGCAAGGTCAAAAAAAGGAATATTTCTGTCACAAAGGAAGTATATCCTCGATTTTCTTAAGGAAACCAGTCTATTGGGATGCAAACCAGAAGATACTCCTATTGACTTCAACCACAAACTTGATGGTATAACCACAAGCCCAATGGTGGAAAAGGAGAGGTACCAACTATTAGTTGGAAAGATCATTTACTTATCCCATACCAGGCCTGATATTGCCTATGCCGTGGGAATTGTCAGCAGGTTCATGCACGTTCCCAATCAAGACCATCTGAACGCTGCATTCAGGATCCTAAGATATCTCAAGGGCACTCCAGGAAAGGGAATTTTATTCTCCAAACACGGGAATATGGAGATTGAAGCCTACACCTATGCAGATTGGGGAGGATCACTCAGTGACAGACGCTCTACTTCAGGGTATTGTACCTTTGTAGGAGGTAATTTGGTGACATGGAGGGGTAAGAAGCAAACGGTTGTGGCTAGATCAAGCGCTGAAGCTGAGTTCTGTGCAATGGCTTTGGGAATTTGTGAGTTACAACAAAGCAGCCATTAGTATAGCTCACAATCCAGTACAACACGACAAACAAAACACATTGAAATCGACACACTTTATCAAGGAGAAAATTGAATGAGGCCTAGTCTGTACTCCCTACATCCGATCTAGAGAACAGCTAGTTGATACCTTGACTAAAGGTTAGGCTAAAGGGCAGTTTCAGGAGTTAATTGGCAAGATGGGCATGACTGATATCTACGCGCCAGCTTGAGGGGGAGTGTGAAAAAACAGATCACCAGAAATATGGGATTCTAGGTGCGGTTGACCCCAGGATTCAGATCCACTTTATTCAGAATTATTCCCTGAATAAATTGGAATGATTCCTTCCCATTTTAGTCTCTGATTCCAGCTGTTTGGACAGCTGCAAATCTTTGACTTTGTACATATATTTCTTTCCTTATTTATAGCCTAGAGTGTAGCTATCCTTTCTTGTATATATAGGCCTTGTACAATCTGTAAACGATGAAGGAAATATATAATTCCCTCTTCAAAAACTTTCCTCACATACTTTCGTTCAAAGTACCCAAGAGAGACACAAGTACACTATACTAGAGCTTCCATACTCTCATATCATGATATAGTGTGCATCCTACTAGTCTTGTGATTACTTGTATTTTGATTTTGCATCCATCATCATACATCTAACATGTTAGAGTGGCCTTTCAACTCATGGAAGCATGAGTTATTGCCCATATAGAGATTATCAACAACAAAACCTACACATACAAGAGTGGACATTACTAGCAAGGAGATAGAAGATAAACATATCTCATGAGGAGCGGATTTGTTGACTAATCAGTGGCTGGAGGACTTGGGATGGTCTTGCGTAAGTCTGAGTCAGAAGGGGCTAGGTGATTCTAATATTGGAATCAGGTAATTAAGCAGTAATCATTTTCTCATATGGTGGAATTCCGTCTTTCTGGCTGGGTCCCATGATTTTTCCGTTTGGGTTTTAGGTTGAGATTTAAATTGTTGTTAGGTTGGTTATAATTTAAAAATCAATTGAAATTAGTTAGTGATTAATTTTAGATAGGTCTGTCTAGATCACGACCTCGCTAGAGTCTTGGTTATGGTCCATTCACTTCTCAGATGCTGAAATGGTCAATGTTAGGAGAGACAAGCCCTCCACTTATTGAGTTCCTCCATGGCTGACCCACTAGGCAAGATTGGTCAACTTCATCCCTGTCACAGTTAGAGTGGCCTTTCAACTCATCTAGGCTGGAAGGTAGACTAGATGAGATGCAGCAATCTCTCACTGGCATCAAGCAAATTTGGGTTAGAGATTTCAGAACATTTTAGTCAGTATCTTTGTACATATCCTAAATCCACAAGGTGTTAGTACAGTTACTAATATTAAATTCTATTATGTCATGTATGAGATTCTCTTTATGTTGGTTTACAAGAAAGTGATCTTTTTTTTTTTTCCCTTGTGACTTGTTTCTCCATGTTTCTAAGTTCCATATCATGTGTTTTTGCCGTTACTCATTTTAATCACCAGAAAAATCCACTAAAAATCATTGAAAATCAATGTGTATTTGATTTTGGGGTTAAAACTTGCATATTAGTATATTATGGATCAAGGTCTGTAAGGTTAAAAAATATCAAGATTGCAGCATCTGAAACTGTTTTGTAAGCCCATCATATAACGTGTCCATTATGCTGTGTCCACATCCGTGTAAGCAGCCACAATTCAAAACCTTGCATGTGATACATACATATGTTCTTTTTGCTTTGAATATCTTTTGTTTGACCATTTTTAAGCTCATATATATGTGTGTATCTCTGTGTGTGTTCATTAGGGGTTGGATATCTATTGTTTCTAACCATTTTTTATCTCATACACTGAAGTCCCCACAACCCAACAACCCCCCCCCCCCCCCCCCCCCCCCCTCTCTCTCTCCTCTCCTCCTCCTCCTCCTCTCTCTTCATTTGAATGGTTGGAAAGTATACCTCATTTGTAAATGCCTTGTGTGTATTAGCTTTTATAAGTACTTTTTCCTTGCAAGTTAAATCAAGAGATCACTGAAGTTCCTTCATGAAAAAAGGATCTTTGAACAAGGGATGTATTGAAGTCAAATTGCTAATTTGACAGAACTTCTAAAAAAAATGCTAATTTGACCGAAAACCTTATTCTTTATTATAGGTTTCAGAGCATGCAAGTTGGTCTGGATGTTTCTATCTTCGAATAATCCAAGCAGCCCTTGCTGCTGTAGGAGCTCCTGAAAATCTGGTCGATGTAATCACGGGGTATGCATTTTTTTGTTTAGTTTTCTCTTTGGTTGTGTTTATTTATCCTACTTTAATTGGATATTTTTCCAGTTTTGCTGAAACAGGTGAAGCACTAGTGTCTTCAGTTGATAAAATCATATTTGTTGGATCACCTGGTGTGGGTAGAATGGTATGATCATTCTCTTTGCCTAAAGAATTTCCAACAGAGATTTTATTTCAATTCATCTCTAACATAACTGCATAGCTCCATATCCCTCAAGTAGATTGAAATGTTCAGTGCAGAACATACCGAGAAGTGTTGCTTTATTGTTCAGCAATTTTTTTCAGTAAAGAACAAATTTATTTTTGTTGTTTCCAAATGTCAAACTACAAATATCAGATTCTCAATAGAATGCTTGTCTTGCAGAATTAGACATCTTAGTTTAAATAGGTGCCTCCGTATAGAAGATTATAGAGGATATCACGAAATTCTCTTTCAGCCTTGTTCTTTTACTGTTGGAAGTGTTTTCTTGTTTGTATTGCATCTGCTGCATACATGTGTAATTATATCATTGTTCCTTTCATTCATAGGTTGGCATGTTTGCTGTTACTGCAGATAATGAGAAATGCTGCTGAGACGTTGATACCAGTAACACTTGAGCTTGGTGGAAAAGATGCTTTTATTGTTTGTGAAGATGTAGATGTTCCTCATGTATGAATCCTTCTTTTCTTGTACTAGTGTCTAGGGGATCTAGACTTTTCAGTTTGTTTTTCTGACATACATGAACCTCCACAAAATCATACTTGTATTGTTGAGCACCAGTGATTTTTATTTTTTATTTTTTTATTTTTATATCATTTAATATATAGGTTGCACAAATTGCTGTTAGGGCTGCTCTCCAATCAAGTGGACAGAACTGTGCTGGGGCTGAGAGATTTTATGTTCATCGGAACATTTATTCTTCATTTGTTGCTGAAGTAGTCAAAATTGTAAAATCTGTTACTGCGGTAAGTGTGTTCCTTTTGGCGCATTGCATTTGTTAGATGTTTTACTTTTTTGCAGTTTTGTCATGATAGGTTCACTGTTTACACGAACTTCGGATTTAAATATTTACTTGGTGTATGCACTTGATTGAATATTGACTGCTATGGTGGTGCGCCAAAGAAATTTTCTTTATTTTATGCCCCCCTCTAATATTTTGTGAGTAAGAACTTGCAAAAACCTAAATACACCAGGTATGATGTAGCATTAGGAAGGAGAGATGCAACTAGGTATGATGTAGTGTACTTGAGTCTTATTATGTAGCATTAGGAAGGAGAGATGCAGCTAGGTATGATGTAGTTAGTTTCCAGTTATGTGATATTGCCTACCAGGATATGTTTTGTCAATTTTGAGGGAAGCAACAAGAGGAACTGTGGCGAAGATGATGGGGAATGGGATATGATTCGAATACATGAGTTGCACATGATTTTACATTACTTTTGGAGAAGAGGGAAAGAGAAATAAAATTGGGGATTTTAGTGATTTAGGGTTTTATTTATGCTTATTGTTATTTTGATAATGTTTGAAATTTAGGGTTACTTTGGTATTTTTTATGTTTTAGGGTTTGCTTAATAATTTACCTATTTAAAGGCTCCTCTGTAATTTGAGAACTCAGTTTTTGAGAATATTGATTATCGTCTTCTTTGAGTCTCTCTGTGTTCCATTGTTTCTCTGATTTATGTTCTTGCTTTTGTCACCCATTCAGTCTATCTTGCCTATCTATTCACTCTGTTCTCACCCCCTTTCGTTTATTTTCTCATCCCTTTCTTTCTTCCTGGTTACTTGTCCCGCATCAATTGGTATTAGATCAAAACGATCGAGTTTATTCAGAGTGAAAAATCACAGATCATCATTGCCGGAGTTCTCTCTTGTCGCCAATATCCCTTGCCGTCAGCCCTCCATCTGTTGTGCATCATCGTTGGCTTTCTCATCAACGTCTGTCACATCTTGGCATCAGCCCGTCGTCGCACAGTCTTCACCAGAGTTTGCCGTTGATTTCATCGTCTCATCATCGCCCAGATTTTCTGATCATCGTTGTCATCGCAACTTCAGCCGAGAATTCAGTGTTTGATTTTGGTAAAGTCAAATTTGGTTATTGTTGGTATCGCCACTTCAGCACAGAATTTAGGGATTGATTTTGGAAAATCAAATTTGGATTATTGCAATCTTTGAGATCGTTATTGTCACCAAAATTTCAGCGCCACTGATTTTGGAAAGTCAACTTTGGATTATTGCAATATTGTCACCAAAATTTCAGCACGACTGAATTTGGAAAGTCAACTTTGGATTATACCTTCTGGTTTGGAAAGGATAGATTTGGTTTCTCTTATAAACCAGATTCTACCCGCCCCAAATCAATTAAAACAATTTGACCCAGTCCAGGAAGGAAGCAAGTTCAGAACAAGGCCAGCCCAGTACAACAATGATCCAGAAACAGAAAAAGAAAAGAAAAGAAAAGAAACAACAGTCAAGAGAATTGGATCAGATCTGTTTGGCCCACCCCAGAATCACATTCAGAGTTTGTCCAATTCCAGAATCAGCCAAGAACCAGTTCAGTAATCTTCAACAGTAACCCAGTTCACACAGAGATAGTGATGTAGAACAGCTCGCTCACGATTATCTGAGCATACAGAATCATCGCAAATCAGGAAAAGTCAAAAGGAGATTTGGTGTAGTTGCCAGCAATTCCCAGCCTCGGGACAACATAAAGTTAAGGTTGCAGATGGTACTTTATCATCAGTTGCAGGGAAAGGTTCCATAATTATTTCAAAGGATTTTGTCCTTGAATCTGTCCTACATGTTCCAAATCTCTCTTGCAACCTTATTTCAGTTTGTAAACTCACTCAAGATTTGACTTGTATGGTTAAATTCTCTTCTACGCATTGTGAATTTCAGGAACCGTATACGGGGAAGAGGATTGGCAGTGCTAGAGAAATGGATGGCTTGTTTGTTCTTGAAGTAGGCAGAGATGAAGAAGGTAAAGGCATAAAAGCTATGCAATGTGGGACTTTGAATCTGGCTAGCAAGAACGATGTTCTTTTGTGGCACCTTAGGTTGGGACATCCTAGTTTATCCTATCTGAAAAGGTTGTTTTCTTCATTATCGTAAGAGAAAAACGTTTCAGATTTCAATTGTGAAACCTGTGAATTATCTAAGCATCATAGAGTGCCTTTTCCAACTTTGAATTACATTGAGTCTTGCCCTTTTGCTCTTCTTCATAGTGATGTTTGGGGACCTTCGCGTGTCACCAATGTTTCTGGTTCAAAATGGTTCATAACATTCATTGATTACCATACTAGGATGTGTTGGATATATCTTCTTAAAGAAAAGTCCGAAGCAGCCAAAGTGTTTCAAACCTTCCATAAAATGATTGAGAACCAATTTCATTAAATAATTCAAATCCTTAGGACTGATAACGGTAAGGAATACTTCTCAAACATCTTGGGAAATTATCTTGCTGCTCATGGTATTGTTCACCAAACCTCGTGTTGACACACCCTAACAAATTGGGGTAGAGGAAAGGAAGAATAGGCACTTACTTGAAGTGGCCAGGGTTCTCCTAATCCAAATGAGTATTCCAAAATACCTTTGGGGTGAAGCCATTTTAACAGCCTCATTCTTAATTAATCGAATGCCTAGTCGTATTCTTAAGTATGAGACACCCTTGAACCAACTCAAGAAATCCTTTCCCTTGACAACACAGTTATTCTCTTCCTTATGTCTCAAAATTTTTGGATGTACTGCTTTTGTCCGTGATCACAGTCCCAACAAAGGCAAAGTGGATCCTAGAGCCATAAAATGTGTTTTCCTTGGTAACTCTCCAAGAAAGGGTACAAGTTTTTTTGACCCCACTACCAAATAGTTTTATGTCTCCATGGATGTAGCATTTTTTGAACATCAATCGTTCTTCACCAAAACTTCACTCTAGGGTGAGAATAATCAAATGGGAGATCAGTTTTGGGATGTTACCGTGTCGCCTATCCGGCTCCTGTTCAGTCCACATCGGGCCTAAACAGTCCTCAACCGATCTTCCTTCCTAGCCCACAACTGAGCCCTAGTAACTCAAGTGAGGGGGAGCAGCAACTACAACAGCCACAACAGCAGCAACAATAGCCGTTGGTTAATCAACAACCAGCAACCAATGATGGGCAGACTAAAGAACTGAAGGTTTATACAAGAAAGAATAAGGATAAGGAGGCTGGGACATTTCCTTGGTACTGCCCACTCCTGAACCAGCTCTGGTCACTTCAGATTCCAATGAGATCTTGGAGAGTGATACAGGCAGAATTAAGTGGAATTTACGTTTTCCAGAAAGCTTCCATATTTTGAAAGTTTCCTTATTTTGAGTAGTTTTCTGATTTTCATCAGCTTTCCTTTTTGAGTAGTTTTCTGATTTTCAGCAGTTTTCCTGTTTTTATTTTATTTTATATTTGGTAGTTAGCGAATATAAGGCTAGGATTGGGGAGGAAGAAACTCTATATAAAGAAAGATGAAGATAATCAGAAAACTGCTCAAAATAAAGAAACTTTCAAAATATGGAAGCTTTCTGGAAAACATAAATTTTACTTGCAGAATTTGAAATTCTGCCTGCATTAGTCTCCCCGTGTTGGAAAAAACTCGCCTTCAAGTTTGGAGCAATTTTCCACGATCAATCAAAAATCCGAGCATGGCTTTCCATCCCCTCTTTCTTCTTTTCCGAACTCGGATCAAATACCTTAATCTTCTTATATTAACAAAGAATACACTCGCATAATAAACATGGATTTTTCTAGAGGTCCTTTGAAATTGGGTAGGTTTGCAAAACTCGGTGGAACATGTATCTTGAAGTACAAGTGTAATCAACTTTAATTTTTCTTCCAACAATCGTCTAGCAGTTGTAGTACCCTCCAAGAATTCATCCCAAATTATGTCATAAAAGTGAAATTCATTATTTTTCATCTCCATTGATCCAAAAGCTTCATCATCAATCACGCATCCTTTATTATGAGATTCTTCTTTTGTAACTTCCTTATCAAAGATCGTTGATAAATCCCAATCCATAGATATTTTTGACTCGTATGATTCCGTGTGTGGTTCTTCATAAAATGGAGGCTTACTCCAGGCAATGAGTGATTCTATAATAGCTTCCCCTACTTCTTGTGGTGGTTCTTCTTCTCCACTAAGATATCGTGCAAATTCAGGAATTTCCTCCTCAAAGTCGCCATCACAACGCCTTTCATCAAATACAATAGGTGTTATATTGCTGCAAAAAGGACTAACAAAATTCTCTTCAAGATTATCCTCATGGAAAAACGAAAATCTGAAAATTGATATCTGTCTGCCAACAACTGTCAGTCTGCTCGTCGAGTGATCTATGGCGACGCGAAAAAAAGAATGAATTTTCGCAATAGTCTCGGTGTCTGTCACATCCTTATCCACCGAAACATTGTCATCAACCGGCGGGTTGACGACGGGTTGACAACGCATTGACCCAATAGTTGAGTCAACAACTAAACTTGTCTCCGCAAAAACTCTATCTCGCTTTCGTGTTGCTTGGGTATTGGTTCAGCTGGAACTTGCATCCTACGATTTCCTCCTCTCGGTAGTTGTCGTGGAGGCATGATTGAGGGAAAGCCAAAACCTAAGCTCTGATGCCAAACTGATGCCGCCTTACCAAGAGGATATGATCAAATCGTCTTCACAACAATATTAAAACGAAATAAAAGAATAAATTTAGAGAAGGAAAATTGCAAAGTTACAAAGCAAACTTTATTTGTTGTAAAAATAATAATCCATTCACTAATCTGTAAACGCTACAAGGCTTTATATAGAGTTTCTTCCTCCCTAATCCTAGACTTATATTAGCTAACTACCAATTATAAAATAGACCAAAACAGGAAAGCTGCTGAAAATCAGAAAACTACTTGAAAAGGAAAGCCAATGAAAATAAAAAAAAAACTACACAAAATAAGGAAACTTTCAAAAC